GTCTACAAAGTCAGTTACCACCAGTGGTAGGCTAGAGCTTGTGGTAACAAAGTCATTATTAAAATTGAACTATGTAAACTTAAGTTAAATACGTTATTAAAAATTAATATAAAATATTCAAAATCTATTGCTTATTAATTATTCTATACATTTTACAAATATCTATTCTCTTGAGATGGCTTCTCTGTTGTATCTGTATGGTGGAAACTACATACTGGTTGCTGGTCCCTGAGTGGCACAAATGATTAAGTGCTTGACTGTTAACTGGAAGATTGGCAGTTCAGATATACCCAGAAGTGCCTCAGGAGACAAGCCTGGCAATCTGTTTCCACAAGGTCACACCTTTGAAAATGCTATGAAGCACAGTTTACTCTGGACACATTGAGTCACTGTGATTAGGAATTAACTCGATGGCAACAAACAACAACCACAGTCCCTCTCTTCCTGACTCAATGATGTCATGTTTATAGCTTGAAATCAACAATGCAGGAATATTTACACCATGCAAATTGGCATATAGTACGAATCAGGACACCCACTTCTCTGCCCCTCTAAAAGCTGATTGTTAGTTACTGCCTATCTATATTCTTTCTAGCTTCCAAACTCATTAATGTTCTCTTTAATTGTATCTCCAATCTGTTTTCATCCTTACAGTTTATATCCTTTTCAAGTGTCATTCTATTGGGTTTGACAAGAGAGTTGAAATAAATCTCTTAATTCTTTGCACCAGTATCCAAAGAGAGAAGATCTCCTATCTCCTGCTCTGGATTCTAAGCCTGCTGCAGCACATTTAATGGGGTGCCCCAAAGGATTGCTTTCAGTTGTGGGACCCAAAGTAGGAATTTCTTGCCCTTGTATCTTCTGAAAACTCTTTCACCTGAACTAATGACTTCTTGTCATTCTTTTTTATGTCTTGTGGGTCTCATATCTGTTATCCATGGCCAGAAGACCACCATGATTTCAGCCACACTCAACTTTCACTTAGGTATCCAGTCCATAGTTTTCCCATAGTTTTCATTGTGTTGTTCTTATTTCTTTTATTTAAAAAATATTTTCTGTGTTTTACTATGAACATGTTTTAAACCTGCAACAAAGCTGGAAAGAATTTTACAGGGCATACCCATCTACACACCTCTGGGTTCTATCAGTTTTCTATATTGACGTTGTCACGTATCTGCTCTTCTCTTCATCCTCCATTTATCCCCATACTGGTTAGTAATAAAGGAAAGGAGCATGCCATTCAAAAAAAACTATTTCACACATACCTTGCCTGCCCATACTGGGATATTGCTGAGCACTTTTAGCAGCCTGGGAGACAGGCGGACCAGGCTTGTAGGGAGGATGAACTGTGGCTCACGGTGGACAGTGAGTACACTGTGGCCTCAGCTGGAGCTGTTTGAGGCCACAGCTGCTGCCGATTCATGAAAGAGGCCTCTGGCCACATATGTGGTAGTCCCAGCAGAGTCCAGAGGAATCACACTTCCCTGCCTCTGCCATCATCCCTTGAGGTCACCAGTGTAGACCTCTTTATTGGAGAGCAAGCCTCTGCCATCATCCCTTGAGGTTGCCAGTGTAGACCTCTTTATTAGAGAGCAAGTCTCCAGCCAGGGACATGTGAGATGGTATGTCCTTGTACTCCCTTTGCTTGCCATCTGCATCCTCTCTACAGCACTTCTGCAGGACCTCATGGTCCAGCTAACTGCACAAAATTTCTGCTTAATAGTTCTCTGTGGAATTGCTTAATGAGTGAATCTTCCAGGAATACAAAACAATGTTAGAGGACTAACCTGGCCTGGATTTCCCACTGGGAAATGGGTAGAGCCACATGGAACTGTATTCCTTGCTGATGGTGGCAGGAAAATAGAAGACCTCTTGGGACCTCATCACCAAGACAAGCATATATATGGGACACATACACATAGCTGTGCACATGCATACACACACAGAGCTGGGCACGTGCACACAGGATCTTCTGTGAGTTCACATTATAGAGAATTAGATCTCACAGTGACTTGTTACAAAGTTCTCTTCTTTCCCATCTCCATTTCTCCCCCCACTTGGCTTTATGTTGCATGTAGTAGCATTTTTCCCCCAGTTGCTATTGATTCTGACTCCTGGCAACCCCATGTGTGTCAAAGTAGAACTGTGCTCCATAGAGTTTCAGTGGCTGATTGGAAGTAGGTCATCAGGTCATTCTTCCAAGTTGCTTCTGGGTGGACTCAAACCTCCAACCTTTTTGTTAGTAGCTGAGTTCTTTAACTACTTGCACCACCCAGGGACTCCAGTAGCATTTAGACTTTGGGTTTTCTTTTGGTGCAGTGGGGTCTGTCTGTCATTGTGAATGATGTTATGTGTGTGTTGGCAAATTGCAGCTTATAGCCCAGCACTTGTGCCTGTAGGTAATGTTTTTACATATTTGTGTCGGAACACAGCTATGCCCACACATTCACAGATGGTGGCTGGTTTAACTCTGTACTAGTTGAGCTGAGTCCTTGTGGCAACGACTCCATGACCCACAAAGCTGAAAATACTCTCTCTGGCCCTTCATGGGAAAGGTGTGCTGACCCCTGATCTAGGATATACTGGTCCTAGGTGAAAAAGGAGGAAGTCAGTGTGTTCACAGGTGCTATGTAGACAAGGCAGTCTGGCATTTGTACTTTCCAGGGCTGGGAGGAGAACTTCGGGGGGATATATGGGAGCGAAGGATAAAGGGGACAGGGTGAGGTATGACAGTGCCTTGTCCACCCAAGTCCATGTACTGCTCCTCCACTTCACCTGCCCCAGTGGACAGGTCCTTGCATTGAACGTTGTGTGATTTCCTTTCCATGTATTTAAGTGTCATGGAGTCAGGTAACAAAGACCAGTGGTCGTGGCCTGTGCAAAGACATAAAAAATAGTAAAATGAAAAGAATACCTTATTAAGCTGAGAGCACTGCTGAGAGCAGTGTATGCTGCCTGCTTTGCTCAGTTAGGAGCAAAGTACATATGTTCTGGCACAGCGAGAAAAGTGCTCAGAGAAGGTTGGCTGATTGAGGCCTGCCTGAGCACAAGGGGCCCAAACATAGCTCAGAAAGTGCTCACCCTCCTGAAGCCAGCATCATGGGGACAGACACAAGCTGCACAGTGTCCTTGGAGGAGGCAGTGACTAATCACAGCATAGGGACATGGGAGAGGACTTCCAGAGAGGGAGAAGGAAGGAATTTAAGAGGGCTCCAGGTAAACAGGAGTTCACTAGGTGAACAGGAGAACTTCTGGACAGACAGTAGGACAAAGACAAAAATTATGCCTAAAAGCCCTTCAGAAGTTTGGTGGGAGGTATTGAGAAGGGCCACAGGAAACACCAGTTTTGAGGCTTTGTGAGTCATAGGGAGCCCTTGAAAGCCTTGGCTGATAGGGGACTATTTGTGAGGGAAGGAGGCAGCAGGGTGCCTTTAGGCAATCAGTGACAGTGGTGGGGATGAAGGTGAGAGGAAGGTTCCCCAAGATGGGCACTGGGTGCAGCTGGAGTTGGTAGATTTGGCAGTGACTATGTAGGAGCTCTGATAGCATAATGTCTAAGGCATTTGACTGCTAACCAGAAGGCTGGCGGTTCAAACCCACCGGCCACTCTTCACAAGGAAGGTGGGCAGTTTACTTCCGTAGTGATACTGCCTTGGAGACCCAAGGAGGGGTTGCTATGAGTTGGGGCCGACTCGACAGCACATAACAACAACAACATGGTATGCAGAGTTCTAGGGGTGAGGCTGGAGAAGTGGGGCTCCAGGGTGTAGTCCTTCCCTCCATCTGCTGCATGTGCAGGCTGCTGAGCACCCAGCCCCACAATGGTGAGGAAGTAGAAGTATGTCTCTGCTCAGCACAACAAGAGGGAGAGTGGTATCTTCTTACCTTGGCCTGGGAATCTTGGCAGACCAGTAGCAGGTGAGCTGTAGGGTCCCCTGACTAACTGGCTTTGTGAGTTAATATATATTTTGAATCACGTGCTATTAGTGCAGACTGCCTTCAGGTTCCAAGGCTGTGAGTTTCTCTCAGGGGTTGGCAGCAGTCTACAATGGTCATCCCAGCCCAGGTACCCCTTGGTGAGGAGAGCTGGTCACACAAGCTTGTGGGGGTAGGGAGGTGGGGGGAGGAGCTGGTCAGAGTCACAGTATCAGGAGGGAGTCTGAAGAACTCTGGTTAGTCTTGCTCCAACAGGGGCTGAATCATAGCAGGATGTCATCTGTTTTCCTTTCATGCTTATTCATATTTTAGGTTCTTTCTTCCTTACCATGTTCATATGTGTGTGCAAGTGTGCGTGCATGCATGTGTGTATATATGTGTACATGTGTGCCTGTATGTGTGTGTGTGCACACACACACATTCTAATCCTCCTTGTAGTCCTCTACTGTTTATTACTAGCCATTTGCTTTGGTAAGCATTAAAGGCACTGGAAAACAAACGTCTCTTAGAGGAGACTGAAACCCTGGTGATGTTGTTCTCAGCCAGTTTCCTCATAGCTCACCACTAAGTCTCATCCCCTACATCAGTCCCTTCTGCCATAAACTTGCCTGGGAGTTCCTGTGCTTCTGAGAATGGGTGCCTATGTAGGGTTCCTTCCAGACTTACCCTTATGAGGGGTCATTGAGAGCTCTCCTGGGTTTCCAGCTTACCTGCCATGCTCCTCAGTGAACAGTTCTGTGGAGAAGATGTGGTGAGAGCAGAGGCAAGGATGACTGTTGCTCAGATGGAGAACAGATTGTAGTATCACATCGTCTTGATTACATGCCTTTCTCTTCACTCTCTTTCAGTATTTTCTCCAAAGACTGTGTGAAGCATGCTGTTTACAGACAACGTGGTCATTGAGAACTGTGCTGGCAAGAGTGTCTCCCACTAGCCTGACAGGCTGGGAAATGAGGGCCTGCAGGGGTCTTGCTGTGCATTGCCTCTGTGCTGAGCTTCTGGCCACAGCCCCAGGGCACTGAACATCCTCCCACCTCTGCAATTCCCACCCCCACCCCTTGAGGATGTGTGACTCCACTAGGGGGCTGCTCATGGCCCTCACTGTGGTGTTTGGGACGGCTGTGGCATTTGCACCTGTCCCTCGGATCACCTGGGAGCACAGAGGTGAGTGAAAACCTGTAGGGGTACCAGTGGCTCCTGTAATGTAGTATGGGGGACAGAACAATCATCTTACCACCCACAGTGCTAAATACGTGGCTGTACATTGTTGCTAATGATGCTATTTGAGTATTGCTCCTAAAAGCAGTCCCTGGGTGGCAAAAACAGTTAGGTGCTTGATTGTTAACCAAAAGGTTGGAGGTTCAAGGCCATCAGAAATGCCTTGGAAGAAAGCCTTGGCAGTCTACTTCCAGAAGGTCAGTCATGCAAACCCTATGGAGCACAGTTCTGTTTTGACACACCCCATGTGTTTCACCATGGGGGTCGCCATGAGTTGAAATTGACTGAGTGATAACTGTTTTTTTTGTTTTGTTTTGTTTTGTCCCTAGAATTTGGTGAGATGTATACATCCAAGAGATGCCTTTGATAATTAGAAATGTTTGTCAAGACATGCTTAGAACCCCTGATTTGGTGTCTAAATTAGAAGGAACTCTTAAAAGGAGGAGTCCTGAGGTGATACAAACTGTTAGTAAGTGTCACTGCTAATACAAAAGTTGGAGGTTTGAGTTCACCCAGAAATACCTAAGAAGAAAGGTCTGGTGATCTATTTCTGAAATATCTGCCATTGAAAACCCTATGGAGTAAAGTTCTGCTCTGACACATATGGGGTTACCATTAATAAAAAAGAACTTGACAGCAACTCGTAACTGGTTTCTAGAAGGAAGCTTATCTCTCTTGCAACTGACAATATTTGGCACATGATCCTGAGGATAAGTTACTGCTCAGCATTTGCCACTATGCATGTGAACAGACCATCAATGTGTTCTGAGGACAGTTAAATTGTGTGTGGAGCTGAGCTTCATGCCACTTATTATTGTTTCTGTTTATTAGTTTCTTTTTATTTCCTTTCTTGGGAGCTGTGCCTTTGGAGCCTCTGTCTTTCTGGATCAGTGGATTGAGAGTTTAAAATACGTGTTCTTGAGCATAAAGTATTGAATGCAGGGTGGAAAGGTATCCTGTGTGAAATTAAAGGACAATGCTTATGAGTAGCAGATGTGCCAAGAGAGGAATTTCATGTGTATCTCTCTCTTTGACCCTGGGAAATTAGAATAACGGAAAGGACTACACCTTAATCCTTAAGTAAATTGAACATTTAGTGATTGCAGTGTAGTAAATTTCATGATACGGCTTTTCTAGCCATAGTATTTATAACTCCCACTTTGCTGTGAGTAACTGAGTAGCTGCTTGTTTAAGTCATCCACCTGGAGCAACACAAAGCAATCCTCTGGAAAGTGTGCTTTCTCTCAGGTATATAGAATTCTGATGTTGGAACTGGTTAGTTTGGCCACTCTGCTATGCTCAAAGGAGCACTCCTAGAGGCAAGAGGAATGTCTTTCTGACTGCTGGCTAAGAAAGACATGGATCTTAGAGAAATGTGCTGCTGAGAGAGAGACTTGAGAGAAACATGCTACTGAGAGAGACGGTCGGGTGAGAGAGATTGAGCGTGTTCCTGAATTTGTATTGGAGCCTGTTGCTTCCCTAATAAACCCCATAATCTGTGAGTTCTTTGTGGCCACTGCAGCAAATTATCGAACCCAGCAGAGAGGTGGTGGGTGCCTTGGGAGGAACAGTTGGTCTCAAGGTTAGTAGGAGGGCTGGAGGGTGGCGGCATGTTTGGCCTCATAGGAGCAGGCCTTGGGCTGCTGATGGTGATTCTGTCTTCCTCTTGTGTAGTTAGAGGAGGTCAGAAGATGCTGCCTCTTGCCTCTTTGGCAGTGACCCATAGAAAGCCTATTAAGATTCACTCAAATTGATGTCAGAAGGCTTAAAAAGAAGAAAAAGTTCTTAAATAAATAAACAGTTCCTTAAAAAAATAGTATTGACAAATTATAGTATTCCTAAATAGCTAATGAGGGAGCTCTGGTAACGTAGTGCCTAAGGCACTTGACTGCTAACCAGAAGGCTGACGATTCAAAACACCAGCCACTCCTCAGAAGAAAGGTTAGGTAGTCTACTTCTGTAGTGATATCGCCTCAGAAACCCAGGGAGGGGTCACTATGAGTTGGGTCCAACTTGACAGCACGTAACAACACAACAACAACAACAAATAGCTGATGCTTCCTAGTGTTCCTAATATCATTGGCACAATTACCTAATGAATGAGTAAATGTCACTTATTTCCCTAACTTGTAAGTTTATTGTGGTTTCCCTAACTTGTAAGTTTATTGTGGTTTCACTGAAAAATGCTTGGATGGAATGATAGAGTCTCTGCAGTTGATTTTTGAAAGGGTTTGAAGTAAACCACATTTTTCCTGAACAAGAAAATTGCTATGAGTCGGGTCCAACTTGACGGGAAATAACAACAACATGGGTGATTTTAAAAATCACAGACAAGAGTTTAATGAGAAGGTAGTGGTAAGCTGTAGAGCTCAGCAGATAGAGACCACTCACCTGCACGGCTTATTATTGGTGGGTCTGGTTGGTGCAGAGTTTGCAATGCATCAAGACTTGGGGAGCAGGAGAGGAAGTCATAGCCAGCTGTCAGGCTGGGTACTTCAACTGTGACCCAGCCTTTGGCTGCATCTGTTGGCTTCATTAGCAGATGGTTGACTGACATCAGCCAGAGACTACTGCTGTTTCTGCAATGAGTGCATCATACATTCCCAGCAAACCTTACAAGCAAAAAAAACCAAACTCACTGCTGTTGAGTTGGTGCACTAAAAATCCACTTGCTCTCAGACTAACTCCTACTCATGGTGTGTTGAAGTAGAACTGTGCTCATAGGTTTTCAGTGGCTAGTTTTTTAGAAGTAGATCACCAGGCTTTTCTTCCAAGGTGCCTCTGGGTAAACTATAACCACCAACCTTACAGTTAGCAGCTAAGCGTGTTAACCATTTGCACCACCCAGAGACTCTGGTAATGCCTTAAAAACAAAAAAAAAAAAACACTGCTATTGAGTCAATTCCAACTCATAGTGACGCCCAATGGGTATCCAAGGTGGTGAATCTTTATGGAAGTAGACTGCTCCATCTTCTTTCCATAGAGTAGCTGGTAGGTTTGAACTGCCAATCTTTTGGTTAGCAGTCAAATGCCTTAGGCACTGCACCACCAGAGCTCCCAGACATACTTAAATACAACTGATTTGTCAAAGTCTTGGCCTTTTAGCTTAAAAGTACTGAATTTGTTTCCCTTTCCCTCCCACAGAGGTAGGTCTGGTACATTTTCATGAACCAGGCATCTTCAACTACTCAACCTTACTGCTCAGTGAGCACAAGGACATCCTGTATGTGGGTGCCCGGGAGGCTGTCTTTGCTGTGAATGCCCTCTCTGTCGCTGAGAAGCAGCATGAGGTAGGTACTGGGGTACACTTCCTCACCAGGCTGGCATACCTTTCCAGTGGGACCACTCCCCAAATAGGCTTTGCCTTAGAGCAGACTGTGGTTTGCCTATGGACTATGCTCTTTCTCTGTAGTGCTGATCTTGCTTTGTGATTTGCCTCACAGAAGTGCTATCATATGCTTATTGGGCTGTTGAGTGTGTCCTCTGCATCTTTTCCTGATCCCTGGACATGTGAAGGACCTCTGTTCCCATAGCTTTTCTGCCTGTGCCTGTGTCCTTTGCAGCCCAGCTTCTGGTTGGCTCCAGACACAAATCTGTCTTCCTCTGTGCCAGGAGCCCATGGACCAGAGGCTGCCCTTATCTGTCAAGCTACATATCTATCCATCATCTGTTATCCATCGATCTGTCATCTCTTTCAACTCACTCACTGCCGTTGAGTCAATTTGACTCATAGCAACCCTTCTTTGGGTTTCTGAGACGGTATCTCTATGGAAGTAGATTGCCCGATCTTCCTTCCGAGGAATGGCTGGTGGGTTTGAACTGCCGGCCTTCTGGTTAGCAGTCAGTGTCTTAACCACTACACCACCAGAGCTCTATCAATCTGTTTATGCATCTTCTGCCTTACTGTGTATCATCTACCCATCAGTCATCTCTCTCTTCATTATCTGTTATCTAAATTTATTTTCTGAAAAGTTGCTCAGAAAGTACAGAAAGTTCCCATATTCTACCCATCAGCCCCAACATACCCACAGAGTTTCTCCTATTACTAACATCTTACACATTTCTTGCAGTCCATTTGTTATAATTAATGAACCAATGTTGATAACATTATTACTAACTAAAGTTCACATTAATTCTCACTCTTTCTGTTGTACATACAGTCCTATGAGTTTTGACAAATGTGTAATGTCATATGTCTACCATTATAGTGTCTAACAGAATAATTTCACTGCCCTAAAAATGCCCTGTGCTTCCTCCACCTACTCACCCATCATCTTTTATTTTAAATGTTTACTTTTAAACTTTTTATTATGGCAAATGTTTCAAACATTAGCAAGAGGAGAGCGCTGATATAATGAGACCCATACCCATTTGCAATTTCAACAACGGCTGCCCAGGGCAACCCTGTCTTCACCTCTGCCCCGCCCACTTTCTCTGAGTCCAGCAACTTTGAACCAGATCCCAGACACCATATGCTACAACTGTAAATGTTTTCCTATACATTTCCTAAAGAAATAACTCTTTTTCTCCAGATAAGCAAGATGCCATAATCACATCCAAAAAACTAACAATTCCTGTGTGTCATCAAATACTTGGTCAATGTTCAGGGTTTAGCAGCACTCTCGTAAATGACCTTTTATTTGTTGTTTTTAAAATAGATTTAATCAGAATGAAGGGAGATCCCTCATTGCAGTTTGCTGCTATGTCTGTTGAATCCTCTTCCAATTTGTCTATTGAGGAAAACACTTTATATGTCCTGTGGACTTCCCAGTCTTAATTTTGCTACTTTAGTCCTCCCATGTGTTTAGTGGGTGCCTCTGTCTTCTGCTTGGCTTTCAATTGGCATCAAATCTTAAGGCTTCTGCTCAGGTTCAGTGCATTGACAAGGCTGTGTTCTTCCATGAGGTCTCTCCTTTTGCAAAGCCAGCAAGTGGCCTTTGATGAGCGAAGCCTGGACTCACTTAGTCATCAAGGACTATAAAGTAGGGAGGATTTAATTTCACCTTTCCCTCTTCATATATTAAGTGGAAATCTTCCATAAAGAGAAAATTCTCCTCACCAGCTATTTAGGTCCTTGGAGGTACAGTGCCTTTTTGCAAAGGCAAGATTGAATTCTTTGCCAGTTTTGAAAATAATGAGTTAGTTCCCCTCTGAAGGGCAGCAGTGAGGTTTTTTTGATGCTTTATTTTTAATATCACAGTGAACTCATGGATCTCAACATATTTGTTGTACTTTACCCCATTGAAGCTAAATCTTTATTGATGCTCAAATTATCCCATCTTTGGCCCGTCGAATCCTCTTCAGGTTGGCTCTTGAGTCCTTTGACATGGTCCTAGGAATCTTTAGAAGTTTCTTATTCTCTACAATTAAGATGCTTCAGACTTACCTTGTACATTTTTTCTTCCCCTGACCTGAAACCCACCATTTATCCAAGGAGACTTGGTTTTCTTAATTAATCTTCTTTTTTTCCCTCCCTCCCGCCCTCTTTTCCTTCTCTTCCTTCCCTTTCCCTTTCTTCCTTCTTTCTCTCTTTATCTCCAGAGTCTAGCAAAGTGCTTAGTTAATATTTGATACATAAATGAGATTTTGAGCATTATTCTTTGAAAACAAAATGTTTAAAGCTACAAGACATTTTCAGCAAAAGAATACTAGGCTCTCAAATTCCAGCTTAACCACTTAGTATGTGTTCACTCATACACTTCCTCTGAGCCTCATTTTCCTTCCTTAGGATATGTGGCTGTGATAACTTTCAGAATCATCATCCTGGGAGCACTGCTATTACATGGTGTGTGTGTGTGTGTGTGTGTGTGCTTAGACCCAGTGGATGTTCAGTAAGAGTTTGCCCTTGCTTCATTAATGGCATCCTGTGGTTCCTCAGGGTAGGAGAGGCTTAGAGGCTTCTTATGCTTAAAATTGAAGACAAAAATAAAGAAACCTCAGCCAAACTTTAATGAAAGTCCCTATAAAGGTAATTGAGGGCCCATCGCATCTTTTGCTCCTGCATTGGCAAGGTTCTCTCTTGCTAACTCTGCTCACAGAATCAATGTATCAAACCAGCCCGGGTGTCACCTACCTCTGACACCATATGTGCTAGAAAAATCCCACTCCATACATCAACTGCGTCCTGTGGAAATCTCAGCTTCTCTTGCCTGGTCAGTGCAGACCCACTGCACTATGCAGCCCTTTCTCTGTTACCTTCATTCACTGGGGCTAAGTCAGTGGCTACTGACCCCTTCTCTCTCTCATCCCTATTCACTCAGGTCAGTGAGTACCAGCCCTTCTTGCTTTCATCTCCATTCACCTGGGGCTAGGTCATTGGACACTAGCCCCTTTTCTGTTTATTAGGTCTATAATCTGTTGAAATGACTCACAAACTCCAGGGAAAGGGCTATCTATAATATAGCAGAAAAAGGGATACAAACACATAGGGTGAGGTCTGAAAGGAGTCTCAACACAGAGTATCCATGTCCCCAGCAGACATCCTTATCCTCTCAAGAGCAGATGTTCACTCTCAGTACCCAGGAAGCTCCACTAAGGCCTCATCTTCTGAGTCCTTTATTGTCTTTACCATGTGGCCATGATAGAGAACCTAATGCCTTCTGGGGCACAGTTAGCATCGGGACCTTCAAGTAGTCCCTCTTGTTCTGGTCAGCCCCTCACTCACTGGCCTCAGGTGAGGTCTGGCTCTCAGGAACTTCAAACTTCACTGCCATCAAGTCAATTCTAATTCATAGCAACCCTATAAGACAGAGTAGAACTGCCCTGTAGGGTTTCTAAGGCTGTAAATCCTTCTGGTAGCAGAGTGTCTCATCTTTCTCCTGCAGAATGGCTAGTAGGCTCAAGCTGCCAACATTTTGGTTAATAGCCAAATGCTTTAACTACTGTTCTACCAGAGCTCCTTCTCAGGAACCAGGACCAAAGATCAAATTGTTTACTGCAAGGGCTTTTAGACCATAAAGTTCCTGTGCCTTTATGCATTCATTGGTGAACAATGTAAAATGACTTGCATTTTAATTTCTAAAGAAGCTACTGATGCTGAGACTTGGTTCTGCTTTCATGTGTGTCCTTTCTGAGACTGGCATTGCTATACAGATACATCAGAGTCATTGATGTGTCTGTCCTTCTGGCATTTTGCAGGAAGCCAGACATGTTACTTTATAATGACACATTAGGTGAAGGTTCACCTCCTTACTGCAGCCCCTCTCAGAAGCTCTGTGTGCTTCTCAACTTCCAAATGCCCCTGAGAGCTGGCTTTGATTCTTTAGGTTAAAAAAAAAAATACCCTATATATCTATCTAGAGGTGCTTTGGAAAAAAGATAAAATTGTTTACTGTATATAAGGAGATGTCCATATATACACAAGGCACCCTGGTGGTGCAATGGTTAAAGCAGTCAGGTGCTAACTGAAAGGTTGGTGATTTGAACCCACCAGTGCTCCATGGGAGAAAAGACCTGGCAAACTGCTCCCATAAAGATTGTAGCCTAGGAAGTCTCACGGAGCTGTTCTTCTCTGTCCTCTAAAGTCACTATGAGTCAGAATTCACTCCATAGCACATAACAACATACACATACAAACTCACACATACATTAATATCAGTTACAGAATATCTTACAAGGAGGTGAGGCAATCTGGGGAGGTGGGCAGGAGTATGGAAGCCTCTTGTGTTGGAGCCTCTATTCCCTCTTCTTCTGTTACTTTCTTTTGGCCAGTAGCTTTGGAAGTGTGTGGCTGAGGCACCCACCTGCTTGTCAGTATTGCATCACATCTCTACCCTGTTTGGAAAAAAGAGGCAACAGAACACTGATTTTTCTATGAATTAATGTAACTCTTTATGCTCACATTGAGATGACTTGGTTCACTTTTCAAAATTAAAAGTAACTGGCAGGGTATTGACTGATTATTCTTGAGCTAAGTTCTCAATTTACAGTGAAGAAGCACTGAACTTACTAGGAATGGTACTTGACCTATAGAGTGTGTTGCTTCATTGCTTTTTACATGGGATTTAATGAATCACAATTATACCATTCCACTGATAGTCAAAGGAATGTTAAAATCTTTTTTTTTTTTTAATTGGATCCAGAGTCACTTTTTAATTGATGAAAAAAAAATTGATATTTGAAAATATACTTGGTTTAGTGTTTTGACAAATAATTTAATTCCCCCACTTTCAGTAGTTTAGTTGTTACTGTTGTTTTAACATTCATAATGGGAATTTGAGGATGGCTGGTTTCAGATTAATGATCACAACAGTTAGAAATTTCACTGAGGGGGATTCTGGAAAGACTGATG